GTCATCAGTATACAACCACAGAGATTGCATGAACCCATCAGAGACTGTATAGAGAAAAGAGTTTCTAAGCACTTAACCTTAGGTGCTCCAGGGTTAGAACCTCTGAAAAAAAGAGGAGGAGACAGAAAGCAAAGGAGGCAGAAAGGAGAATCCAGCGGAGAAAGAATAAAATTATGAATGCCTGGTGCCCTGGAAGCGCATATGGAATGGTTTCAAGGAGCAGAGAGTGATAATGGTGACCATGCTTGCGACGGGTGCAATGACATGAGTGAAGTGAGATGAGCAGTGATGACTGACGGCTGGATCGATACTGGTGATCTTGATAGGAATGGTGTTGGCAAAGTACTGAAGACAAAAGATGGAGATGGATGGGTTTAAGAAAAAATGTGAGAAGAGGAATTAGAGACAGGAAATAGACAACACTTCCCAAATTTTTTGCTTTAAAGGGAAGCAGAGAAATGACTTCATCTCACAATGTTAAGCAAAACAATCTATGTAAGAATGCCCAACCATATTCATATAAAAATATATGTATGTATGTGTATGTGTACACACATATACATATGCACATATATTTTAGAGACAGGGTCTAAACAGCCTGCTCTGTTGCCCAGGCTGCGTGAACCCTATAATGAACTGTGCATATGAGGGATCTAGGCTGCTCACTCCTTATGACAATCATAGCTCATTGGAGCCTTGAACTCCTAGGCTCAAGTAATCCTCCTGCCTCAGCCTCCCAAGTAGTTAGGACAATGGTGTTGGTGATGAAGTGGTCTTCCCTGGGTACAACCAGTAAGGAGGAGAACTATCTGCAGAGAATTTAAAAGCAATAGTGAAACCGATGAATAGCCTGTCTGCATTTTATTGTTGCCATGAACCAGCAGTTCTAAATAATGATGGTGACAAAGTATGCTTCCCACCAGATGGGGGGCTACCCACCCCACTGCTCGGTGTGCCACCCTGGCAATGTCTAATTAATAACTTTTACTTTCTCCAGAACAGTACAAAAATCTTTGGTTTTGGACATTCTTCTCATTTCTAATTTATTATCATCCAGAATTTTAGTCTTACGTTTTTCAAAACTCTTCACGATATAAAAACATTACTACTGTTTTACATGGCCAGCATTCGTTTCAATTCACTCACCTGTTTTCTCTTCTGTTTCACACTCCCTCTTGCATCATATGCGGGGTAATTTTCCTTCTTCCTCGACTGCATCCTTTAGAAATTGCTTTTATAAGCGTCTGTTACACTGTTACACAGTGAGCCTGTCTCACTCACTCCATTTCTGTTTGTCTGAGAATGTCTTTATTTTACTCTCATTTTTGAAATGTTTTTCTCTTTGTATCCAGTGCCAAGCTGGCAATTATTGTCTCCGGCACTTTGAAGACATTATTCCACTGACTCTCTGGCTTCCATTGCATGCCGTTGAGAAGGCATTTGTCAATCTAATGATCGTTTTTCTGTAGGCGATGCTCTTTTTATTCTTCTGACTGTTTATAAGATTTCTTTTTCCTTGGTGTTCTGCAGTTTCACTACAGTGTGTTTAGATTTGAATATCTTTTCGTTTACTCTATTGGAGAGCTGTTAGGCTTCCTTAATCCTAATTCATGGCTTTCATCTCATCTGCAAAATTCTCCATGAATATTTCTTTGTCTGTCTTTCACTCTACCTTATTATCTCCCCAAGGAACTCCAAATACATATCTGAGGAATTTTCTCACTCTTATCTCCATGTGTGTTAATAGTTTTTCACTTGTAGCTCTCTGTGCTATATTCTAAATGAGTTCTTCTACTTCAATATTTTCTTCTTTATACATGTCTAAATTGCTCTTAGCTTGTTTATTAAGCTTCTAATCTTGACTACAGTCATGCATCCTTAATAACAGGAATGCTTCCTGAGATATGCCTTGCTACGCGATTTTGTCATTGTATGACCATCATGTGGTGTACTTATACAAACCCAGATGGCATAGACTACTACAGACTTAGGCTAGATGGCATAGCCTATGTTCCTAGGCTGCAAACTTGTACAGCATGTTACTGTACTGAATACTGTAGACAATTATAACCCAATGGCAAGCATTTGTGTATCCAAACATATTTACGCATAGAAAAGATACAGTAAAAGGCCAGGCATGGTGGCTCATACCTGAAGAACAGCACTTTGGGAGGCCAAAGCAGGTAGATCATCTGAGGTCAGGAGTTTAAGACCAGCCTGGCTAACATGGTGAAACCCCGCTTCTACTAAAAATACACACACACACACACACACACACACACACACACACACACACAATAGCCAGGTGTGGTGGCATGTACCTGTAATCCCAGCTACTTGGGAGGCTGAGGCAGGGGAATCTCTTGAACCCAGGAGGTGGAGGTTGCAATGAGCTGAGATTGTGCCATTGCACTCCAGACTGGTCAATAAGAGTGAAACTCCATCTTAAAAAAAAAAAAGACAAGACAAGAAAAGATTCAGTAAAAATGTGTATAAGAGATCAAACATACTACACCCATATAGGGCACTTACATGAATGGAGCTTCAGGGCTGGATGGTGGCTCTTCCAAGGGTCTTGCTCTGTCGCCCAGGCTGGAGTGCAGTGGTGGAATCTCACCTCATTGCAACCTCTGCCTCCCTGGTTCAAGCGGTTCTCCCTGCCTCAGCCTCCTGAATAGCTGGAATTGCAGGCACCTGACACCATGCCCAGCTAAGTTTTATATATATTTTTTAGTAGTGATGGGGTTTCCCCGTGTTGGCCAGACTGGTCTTGAACTCCTGACCTCAAGTGATCTGTCTGCCTCAGCCTCCCAAAGTGTTGGGATTATAGGTATGAGCCACTGCACCCAGCCATTTATTTTAATTATCAAGTCTTATATACTGTACATAATTGCATGTGCTAGACTTTTGTAAGACTGCAGTGCAGTAGGTTTGTTTACACCAGTGTCACCACAAACACGAGTAATGCTTTGTGCGACAACATCATGATGGCTACTATGTCACTAGGTGATAGGAATTTTTCAGTTCCACTACAATATTATGGGACCACTGTCATATATGCCAGGGTCTCAACCAAGGGCCTGTACCAGGGTCTGTGGCCTGTTGGGAATTGGGCTGCACAGCAGGAGGTGAGAGATGGGTGAGCAAGAGAGGCTTCATCTGCATTTACAGCCACTTCCCATTGCTCACATTACTGCCTGAGCCCTGCTTCCTGTCAGATCAGCGACGGCATTAAATTCTCATAGAAGTGTGAACCCTATTGTGAACTGTGCATGTGAGGGATCTAAGTTGTATGCTCGTTATGAAAATCTAATGCCTGATGATCTGTCATTGTCTCCCATCACCCCCAGATGGAAGTGTTTAGTTCCAGGAAAACAAGCTCAGGGCTTCTACCAATTCTACATTATGGTGAGTTGTGTAATTACTTCATTATATATTTCAATGCAATAATAATAGAAATAAAATGTGCAATAAATATACTGCACTTGAAACCATACCCCGTGAATATCCTGAAACCATACCTCCTGCCCTGGCTTGTGGAAAAACTGTCTTCCACAAAACCAGTCCCTGGTCTCTAAGGCTGGGGCTGCTGATATACATGGTCCATCATTAACCAAAACATAGTTATGCTTCCCATGACTGTAGTTCTATTTCCCCCCCAAATCCATGATTATTTTGTTCTAATGATGTTCTAATTATGTACCTTGTTATGTTCTTATGATGTTATTTTCCTCTGTGTGTAAACATATAAAACATTTTTCTTATGATGTTATTTTCCTCTGTGTGTAAACATATAAAACATTTAGTTTATATTCTATTACTGATAATTCTATGTCAAATCTTCATTGGTCTGATTCTGCTATTTATTGCTTCAGTTGGCTCGTTCATGAAACTTTATATCATTGTATGATTCTGAATTTTTAAAAAGCATAATCTCATATTCTATGGAATTTGACTTGTGGCAATATTTTGATTCCTGTATTGAGGTACATTCTTTCAGAAATCATTTGCCTTTGGTACATGTAGGTGCCTGGAGATATTGCCAATCAGGACCATTTTAAACTAAGTTTTCAGCTTAAAAAAAGTCTAGGGCCGGGCGCGGTGGCTCAAGCCTGTAATCCCAGCACTTTGGGAGGCCGAGGCGGGTGGATTATGAGGTCAAGAGATTGAGACCATCCTGGTCAACATGGTGAAACCCCGTCTCTACTAAAAATACAAAAAATTAGCTGGGCATGGTGGCGTGTGCCTGTAATCCCAGCTACTCGGGAGGCTGAGGCAGGAGAATTGCCTGAATGCAGGAGGCGGAGGTTGTGGTGAGCCGAGATCTCACCATTGCACTCCAGCCTGGGTAACAAGAGAGAAACTCTGTCTCAAAAAAAAGAAAAAAAAAAAGTCTAGCCTGTAGGAACTGGACTCCAGAATTATGTGAGTGCTGGTTTATAAAGGTAAATACTTAGGGTATATTCTTCAGACTCCACCCAGATTAGTCTTCTTTGTTAGGAATTTTCTCCCTGTTATTTTGTATTTTGTTCTGATTCACCATTTACTGAGGATGTGGATGAGGATCTGGGCCAGGTACAGTGGCTCATGCCTGTAATCCCAGCACACACAGCAGAGTCAATGCTTCCTTATCTATCTATCTGCATCCTGGTCTTGCTTTGGCATCTGAGGATTTTTCTTAGTTTCTTACCCATTCAGCCATTTATTTTTTTAAAATTAAATTTATATCCATGAAATACAAGCGTTTCGTGGTGTAAAGATTTTTCTGATATCCAGTCTGTTGCTGCCTAACGAAAGTAAGCTTTTCTTAGTTTATTATTTTTTAAAATTTGCTGCCTTTAATAAATAAGCTTTTCTTAATTAAAAAATAATTAAAAACACTCATTGAAATTTGTTTAAATTTCAAACAACCCTAAAGTCCCCGTCTTAGTCCATTTTCTGTTGACTAAGACTACCTGAGACTAAAACATTTGTAAAGAAAAGAGACTTATTTCGCTCACAGTTCTGGAGGCTGGGAGGTCCAAGCTCAGGTGACAGCACCTGGCTGACTTTTGGCAAGGGCCTTACCTTGTGTTGTGTCATAACATGGTGGAGAAGGAAGGGGAAGTGTGCATGCAGAGACCAGACATGAGAGGCAGCCTTGCTTTTAACAATTCACTCTGGTGGTAACTAATCCATCCCCGAGCAAGCAAGAGTTTACTTTCAGGAGAAAGGCATTGATCCCTCTTGAATGACCGAATCACCTCCTAAAGACACCACTTCTCAACACTGCCACACTGGGCACCGAGCCTCAGCATGAGCTTTGGTGTCGTAGTCAAGCCATGGTACCCCCTTCTCCTTTAAGCTCAACCCTCAATCCCATTCTCCTAAGGTAATTGCATGGACACCATCTCCATTAAGACAGAAAAGTAAGAAAACAAGGCAATGTCTAAATTATCAGGACCCAAACTCTCTGAAAATCCATTTAAGGAGTTTGTTTTGTTTGATAATGAAAATCTAGGTCAGGTACGGTGGCTCATGCTTGTAATACCAGCACTTTGCGAGGCCGAGGTGGGTGGATCAACTGAAATCAGGAGTTCGAGACCAGCCTGCCCAACATGGCAAAACCCTGTCTCTACTAAAATACAAAAATCAGCCAAGTGTGGTGGAATGTGTCTGTAATCCCAGCTACTTGGAAGGCGGGATTGTACTCCAGCCTGGGTGACAAAGCAAGACTTTCAAAATAAAATAAAAAGAAAGAAAATCTGGCCTTCAACTTAAGCTATTCTTTAAGACACCAAAAAATAGTTTATGAAATAGTGGAACCTAAGGCTGATAGACCACACACATGCTGCATTTGAGTTCATGAATATAGTGAGAGCACTCATCTGGGCTATCTGGACTCTCAAATACCAAATGCTCTACACACACTGAAAAATATCCATTTGATGTATGTGAGCCGATTCCAAATCCAAACGAATCCTCATTTCATGCGCTTTAAATAATATCATCGCTGTGTTTGACTTTTTGGGAGGTGATCTTTCTATGCAGAGTGCCCCTTTCCTTACTAATCCCTTTGGGGTTGCAACTAAAAATCCATTTTTATGATTCTAACTTTTATTTAATTATAGGTAGATTAAAGTACCAGTAATGCTAGCTGGTTAATCTAATGGAGGGTGCAATCAGAGGCCATCAGCTGGTCCCAGAAGTGGCTGAGTGCACCGGCTGCTGGCTGTGAGTGCTGGGCAGGGTCACGGTGTATTTTCCAGTGAGGAAAATGAGGGCAGAGCAGCACAGCAGCTGTGGTTTCTGTGATATCAAGGGGGCACTCGGCACCACTGGCCTTTTCCATTTTTTAAAAATTTATGTATACTCCCCAAACTTGGTGGCAAGAGTTGCTTTTCGCGTCTTAAGCCTCAAGACCATCCAGGGAGGAGGACAGTGAAGGGAAAGAAATTAGTGAATGACAGAGGGGGTCTCACTGACAATTTCTGTGATCAAGAAGAAATGGACGCTTGCTCCATCTGTTTCTCATTCCAAAAGTTATCTCTGCAAATTGGCGGATGAAAGTGGGGAAGTGGGGGGTGATGAGAGGGATGAAGAGGTCTGGTAACAGGTAGCCAAGAGTTGGGTGTTCTGGTGTAAAATCTGTGGGGTGCTATTACTTCATTTACCTAATTAAAGGCTTATTTTTTAAAAATTAAGCTTATTTGAGATGTGTGGTTATTTACCCACCCCCTCCAAATCCCTCTTATATTCAAACTTGTGAATTTCATCTATTTTTGGAAATAAGATCCTGCCAGAAAATCATTTTATATCATTAGGCAACCACATTATAGTCCTACGCCTTCAGTAAAGATGATTATATCTACCACTTCTTCCGTAACTGGCTTAGTAATTATTACTAAATTACTCCTCAGCTTTTTCTAGTTGAGATAAAAATGCTTCTTTTAACTTTTCTCATGGGTCTCCTCCCCTAATCTTTCAGTCATCTTCAAAGATGCATCTTGAAACCTCTTTTTAAGATCTTTATAAATCCTCTAAGATCTTTTAAAATCCATAAATGGCTTACTTTGTGATAGCAGTTTGAGAAAGGCTGGGAAAATGAAGGAACTGCTTCAGGAAGTGTTGATGCAGCCCACTCTTTGCTGAATCTCTGTGTCGGAGAAAAATGCTGATTTGGTTTGTATTTTCTACTTTTCAGATTCCAATTTTTACAAACGGCATCTGGCATCCTATTAGTGGAATCTCATGAGTGCGGAGTCAGGGACAAAGGGACATTTCGAACTGATATTTGGGAGTTACTAATCAATGTATTTCCATATTATTAGCTCTTAAAAACTGAATGCAAGCATATTTAATTAGATTTCTACCAAAAACCGATTTTTAAGAAGCACAGTGTTCAGGACCAGACATTTTTAATAACATCTTTTTTCTTTTTGGTCCGGGGAAATATTTTACGGGAATAGGATTTGTCTTCTGCTATGCCTCTGAGGTGTATGTTTTTGCTTATCCTGCTCTGTACCTGGGTAAACTGGTCTCTTCTTTATCAACTGAGCTTTAACATAACTTTCCCTGGAAGAACTGAATTGAAAGTTGTTCCAGCATCGAGGATGTCAGCAGAGACTAGCAGAGAAGATGTGGTAGCAATACAAAGATTTTAGAGGAGTGACTTAAATTTATATTTCTCTTGGTCAAGAAGTTAAAAGGATTTGGACATCTTGAAGTATCAGGGAATACAAAAGGTAAAGCTTGAATTTTTCTGCCATATTTTAGATTTGTTTTCAGCTTTTCATGCTTGTGTGACCTCCTCCCTTTTGAAGAAAGAGCAAAAGGTATTGATTTGCCAACAAACAAGACACTTAAATTAGATTACACAAAATAGTGGCAGAAAGGAGAATAGGATTGATGGGTTATTTTCATGACTAGTCTTATTTTATCTAATTTAGTTACAGGAATTCATTCATTTCAAATTAGGATATAATGGATTTGTGGAAAAGTAAAGGAAATATCTGGAGCTGATTAATGTAAAAGTCTTTAGAAAAGGTAAGTGCCTCCTAACCATGTTGACTAATGTAAATAGATGTTATTTTTTTTCAATTAGGAAAAGAGAGAGAGAGATGTTTGTATATTGACAACACTAAAGGCCAGGAATAGTGTGGTTTAGAGGCCAGCACTTAACCTGTGGAAGAATAAGTAAGTCTTATTTATAGTCTCCACTTTTTTAATGAGAAAATTGAGACATTAAAAAAAATTGCACTTTAGGGTTTACTTTAAAATAATCTAGAAACAGGGGTGAGAAATCTCATGGGGTACAGATGAAACAAGATTAGCCATAAAGTGATACTCGTTAAAGTTGAGTAAGGAGAAAGTGAGGTTTCATTATACTATTGTTTCCAAATGTTTTATTTATTTGAAATTTTCCAAAATGAAAAGTTTTTACATGTCACTAATAAACATCAAAATTCAAAACCAGATTTTGCTGATTTCAAGCTTGTTCTCTCTCTAATATATGATACACAGAATGATTTCTGAAAAACTGAAGAGCAATTTGCCAACCAGATAGTAAATTAAGAATTTAAGTTTTATTTTGGAAAGTAATACTCGCATGTTGAATGGCCTCAAACAAGCATACATGAATCTTAGTGTTAAGATTTATTAAATGGAAGCAATCTTCTCCCTGTTGAACAAATGTGATGACAAAATTGATTTTTAAAAAATGTCTTGTGTTACTTCATTTAATTTTGTATTCTGAAATGATTTCTTTTTGCTTTTTGTTTTTAAAGAAGATAACTTCTAAACATTTTGTAGGAATTAGCTATTTATAGAGATAGGCGAGAATGACGATTTCATCCATGAGACAGAGTAGATTTATGGAATTTGTGAACTAATCTTTAATGAGATTGAACTTTAGCTAGGGCAAGGAAAAACTTTTTGCTCTAGCTAATGAGAACCACTTCCACTGGAATGACCTTACAGCTTTATTTTATGCAGTTTTTTTATCCTTTACCTGTTAAGTGAAAAGGCCACCTGTTTAATGAAAAGGTTTCTTAAGAAATAGAATGTGCCTTAAGTACACCATAAGTCTTTTTTTTAATACAAAATTATTCCATTGAAGACATTATGCTAAGTGAAATAAACTAGAAACAAAAGGCTATATATAAAATAATTCCATTGATACGGCATTCTATAATGCCAAAGTACATGGATAGAAAATCAATCAGTTGTGGCCAGGGATGAGGGGTGGGGAGAAGGGATTGGCGGTAGAGGAACACAAGGGCACTGTTTGGGCTGATGGAACTCTGTTTATCTTCATTGTTGTGGGGGTCACACAGCTGCACATTTGCCCAAATTCATAGAACTGTACATAAAAAGTGTGAACTTACTGCATGTAATTTATTTATCAATAAATTTGATTTTAAAAGTATAAAGATAAATGGATACAGATACATAGTTTTGAAAATATGCCTCTTTGTCCATGAGAGCACAGTGGCCACGCACTTACTGGAATGTCAACAGGAAGCCCCAGTCCTTGGTTGTCAACCACAGTCATCATCATGACGGGCTGAATCATCAAGGCAATGAAGGGATTGATTCCAAACACCAGGGCATAGTGTTCCACACTCAGATTAATGCCCATCTGAAATCTGTCATCATACAAATGAAAAGAGTTTTTAAAAGAACACACACACACACACACACACACACACACAGAGAACACACACAGGCATTCAAATACAAAACAGTGAATTGTGTTCTTCTCAAGGCTTTGCTCTGCTGAGGAAGCCCAGGTTTCTATTGACAGTTTCTTTCTAAAACCTCTTTTAGCAGAGATAGTCTGAAAAAATAGACAAATGGAATGGTGCAATGCATTTTAACATTCCATGGGATGGGATATAGTATGCTAAGAATTTAAAACTAGCTAACCAATTCTACAATTAAAGCAAAATTTCAAAATACTCTGCAACTAAAGAACACTGAACATTGCTTGAGATAAATATGGCTTAGTAAGTAATTTTTAAAAGTAGACATATCAGGCGGAGTGCAGTGGCTCACACCTGTAATCCCAGCACTATGGGAGGCTGAGGCAGGTGGATAGCCTGAGGTCAGTAGTTTGAGACCAGCCTGGCCAACATGGTGAAACCCTGTCTCTACAAAAAAGATACCAAAATTGGCTGGGCGTGGTGGCACATGCCTGTAGTCCAAGCTACTCAGGAGGCTGAGGCAGGAGAATCCCTTGAACCCAAGAGGTGGAAGTTGCAGTGAGCCGAGATTGTGCCACTATACTCCAGCATGGGCAACAGAGGGAGACTCTGTACCAAAAAAAAAAAAAAAAAAAAATGCTGGCTGGGCAAAAAAAAGTTGGCTGGGCACAGTGGTTCATGCCTGTAATCCCAGAACTTTGGGAGGCTGAGGTGGGCAGATCATGAGGTCAGGAGATCGAGACCATTCTGGCCATGGTGAAATGCTGTTAAAATACAAAAAATTAATCAGGCATGGTGGCACGCACCTGTAGTCCCAGCTACTCAGGAGGCTGAGGCAGGGGAATCGTTTGAACCCGGGAGATGGAAGTTGCAGTGAGGGAGATCGTGCTCTCAGCCTGATGACAGAGCAAGACTCCATCTCAAAAAATAAATAAATAAATAAATAAATAAAAAATTTAGACTTATCAGTAAGTGAAAACAGGTCAGTATGATGAATTTTTTATTTATTTAAAGACTTAATTACTAGATTATTAATTGTCTGAATTAGCAATTTCAGAGTCAAATTGGTGAATATTTCTCTGGAAAGTCCTAAAATTATTTCCTTTCATAGTTAATTCAATTTTGTAATTAATTCATTTTAAATAATTGTACTGGGATGTTAAATTTAGTCAGCCAAGACTGACATATATAGTTAAAGTTCTTCCACACAATTTAGTTAAAACATTTGTAACGTGAATCTATTTACAAAATGAAACCAAATGAAAAATGTGAACTATTTTTATGTCCCTTCCAAAATTCTTTGCAGAAAAAAAACAAATATAAGCATTTTAAAACTATGTGATTCAATGAAAAGGCATTATTTCAATGCAGGATATTACCAACTAAACATAGCAAAAACCTTAAATGACTCTAGGTCCCACACAGTGACCATGACAGGTGGTCCAAATGGGATTTGTAATTTCAGGTGTTGCTTATTCAGCTAACAATTTTTCCCTTGAACAAATGTGGAACTACATAGATGCTTTTAAAACTTAGATGAACTCAAATGGCAGATTTCCTTTTAGTATGCAAATTATTTCATGTTGGAATCTTGATTTAATCCGTACAAATGCCTAAGCAGCTTGACAGTGATTTATTTGGTTTTGGATAAGACCTCTACATGTGATGGATTAGAAAAAAACAGTTCTGATGGTGGGCTCAGAGTGGCTTTGAATCCTAGAATTTTCAGTTCAAACCCCCAAATTATTTCCAAGATACCTGAAATTACATGTAATCATACCATCTAAAATCTTATCTTTTTTTTTCTTGGTTGTTTTGTTATTTTTATAAATTATAGATATATATAGTTGATAACTCAGGATTTCTAGCCAATTACCATATAGTTAACACCACCTTAAAAATAAAAAAAAATGCCAAAACATCTTTAAATGCCTTGTCACACCAACTGCAAAGTGCAGAGTGAGGAGAACACGAGAGCGCCTTTTCCTTTAAAAATGTTTGGAAAATGTACAACTTTGATACAGTTTCAGGATGCTCCAGACACCCATGGCCACTTCACGTAACCCACTGACAATCTCTCGAGCACTTTGAGAGACTACAGTATGCTCCTGATCAAGTTTTATAATTAAACCTAATGAGGGAAACGGACACTTCTCAAATAAGAGATGTGTCAATTACGACGCTCCCCTAAGTATTCACAAGGAGAGAGATGAACAGTTTCTTTATTCATCCTCCTCCTTCTCCTCCCCCTCCTCCTTTTCTTTCTCCTCATCCTCTTCATCTTCCTCTTCCACCTTTTTCCAGGCAACTTTAGCAGGACCCTTTGCACCATCAAACTTTCCTTTCGACTTACATTCAGCAACATCCTCCTCATACTTCTCCCGCAGCTTTGCTGCCTTCGTGATGTAAGGCTGCTTTTCGCAGTCATTTAGGTTATTCCTCCTCTCACCCAGCTATTTTTGCCACATCTCCAGTAGAGATGCCAGGGTTTGTGGATTTGATCTTGGGGCGAAATTCTGAACAGAACAGGAAGAATTCAGATGGTGGCCTTTTGCGGGCATTAGGATCCTTCTTCTTGCCTCCCTTAGCTGCTTCCTTCATTTCCTGATCATAGCACACTTTATCCACCTTTATCATTTCATCAAATCTAGATTTCTCTCTCCTGGACATTGTCTTCTACCTCTCAGAGCATTTCTTGGGAAATTCTGCAAAATTGACAGGAACCTCTGGGTTTTTCTTCTTATGTTCTTCTCTGCACGTCTGCACAAAGAAGGCATAAGCAGACACCTTGCCCTTTGGTTTCTTGGGGTCACCTTTAGCCATCCTGACTGTATTGTTCACTAGTCTGGGCAGTGCAGGGCATGACACGTGGATCAATGCTCCCCAGCCTCGAGACAGCTGCCTCCACGAGAGCCACCTCTAAAATCTTAACTTGAAACTCCCGCTGAGTTATTTCACAGTGGCCTCCACTTGGTCACTGTGGAGAAATTGAGCTACCATGCAGAGAACTTTGCCTAGGACACTAGCAAGTTCTTAGAAAAATGAGTTTGGTATTTATGTTCTTCTAGTTGGCATTTAGCACTAAATACAGATGAGCCTCTGGGAGATCGTCTGTAACTTAAAAAATAGAACTACCTTGAAGTTTTATTTGATCATTTATATATTGTGTATTATGGAAGTATGAGATTAGCATTTCCCAATTTACTCTATGACTTAAAGGAAAGTAATAGGAGCATCTGACAAAGCATAAAAAAATTAGGTTGTGCCTGTGTAACAATGCAATGATTACATTTAAAACATTTCAATAGCTCAAAGTTTTCTTCTCATATTGTATTTATTTATTTGGAAGACATACTAACCAAGTGCCTACGTGAAGCAAGAACTCGAGGAAACGCCAGAGGCACAACAGCAAACAAACTAGACAAGGAGGGCACCCATGGAGCTTGCACTCCCTCAGGGAATAAATTAGTACCAGATAACTGCTTTGATTAATATTTAATTAGATTGATCCATTTTTCTATCATAAAAATGCAAAGTAAATATCTTTTTATATAAGAATCACAAATTAGGCCAGGTGCAGTGGCTCACGCCTGTAACCCCAGCACTTAAGAAGGCAGAGGTGGGCAGATCACTTGCAGTCAGGCATTTGAGACCAGCCTGGCCAACATGGAGAAACCCCCTTTCTACTAAAAATACACAATTAGGCAGGCGTGGTGTTGCTTGCCTATTATGCCAGCTACTCAAGAGGCTGAGACAAAAGAATAGCTTGAACCCGGGAGGTGGGGGTTGCAGTGAGCTGAGATTACACTACTGTACTCCAGCCTTGGCAATGAAGCGAGACTCCAAAAAACAAAATCACAAATTATTTTATAGAAACTTCTATTGCATAATGTCTGAAATCATGGATGATCAACAGTCTTAGAATTTCTTATAAACCTGATTACTAACCCTTTGTATGAAGTAAATTTATTCTACACTTGCTAAATTTGTAAGTTGCCTAGAAGTTAGAGCAGTAATTAGATGTAAATGAACTTACAGAGATTGAATTCACATATGTAGAAAATGATATTTTGTCAGTATGTTGAGTTAGATATGTAAATGATAATTTTATTTAGTGCCAAAGTTCACACATCAATTTGGTCAAGTTCCCTTTTTTCTCTACTGAGTATGTCTTCAGACACTAAATTACTAACTTTATTCAATCCTTGTCCAGTAATTAATTTTAAAAATGTCACCGAAATTAATCATGTCTGAAATAATTTTTCTCTTCACTAAACTTACTGATCATCTGACTGAATTGACAAATGAGATAAAAGATGATTGTGCGGGCTTTGATAGAAAGCTCTGAACACATTCTCTGGGAAAATCCTAACACTCAGATTTTGAGTCTCACTTTATGGCCTCTTAGAATCTCTTCATGTGGCTTAACCTTTCTTTCCTTCCTTCCCTCCCTTCCTTCCTTCCTTCCTTCCTTCCTTCCTTCCTTCCTTCCTTCCTTCCTTCCTTCCTTCCTTCCTTCCTTCTTTCTCTTTCTTTCTCTCTCTCTCTCTCTCTTTCTCTCTTTCTCTCTCTCTCTCTTTCTTTCTTTCTTTTTCTTTCCTTTCTTGATGGAGTTTTGCTCTTGTTACCCAGGCTGCAGTGCAATGGTGCGATCTCAGCTCACCGCAACCTCTGCCTCCTGGGTTCAGGCAATTCTCCTGCCTCAGCCTCCTGAGCAGCTGGGATTACAGGCATGTGCCACCATGCCCAGCTAATTTTTTGTATTTTTAGTAGAGACGGGGTTTCAACATGTTGACCAGGATGGTCTCAATCTCTTGACCTCGTGATCCACCCTCCTCGGCCTCCCAAAGTGCTGGGATTACAGGCTTGAGCCACCGCACCCGGCCATGGCTTAATCTTTCACTCCTTCCATGTCTATAACAAAGCATTCTGAGCA